CTTGTTCTCCTTGGCTGCTCAGGTTCATCATTTTGTTTCATTGCTTTTGATAACAGCAACCTTTGAAAACACAGATCAAAAACAGACAAAAGAAAGCAAATAATATTTAAAAGCAACAATGTATGGATATCATACAGGCAGCACTTAGAAAAGATTCTGCTACAAGATCATCCTAGTTTAATGATTAGCCATAAGGTGAACTGGTGGAAAACCTTTCATATAAATCTTTCAATAGAAAAGAATATGTGTAGCTCAGGGTTGAATTGTGGGGTTCTAGGTGTTCAAGTTAGGTTGTTTGCTTGTGGACGTTTCATTACCCAGTTCAGTAACATCATCAGTGTGAGTCCAGTGTGAATTAGTTAATGAAATGTCTCAAACCAAGCTCAGAATTCAGCAGAAAACCTCTGATACAAAGGTTTGTAATGTTTACTTATGAAAAGTCATAAATATTTTCACAGATACAGGTTCCACTATATTCAACAGATCTCATATCTCAGTTTAGTACTATATGAGTATTCTTTTTATTTACATAAATTCAAAATGTTATAGCAGCAGAACTGGATCCCTACTACTGTTCTCACCTCATTTTGTGGAGGATGGTAAATTATTCAGAGGCAAACAGAAGAATTCAGGTTTGCTAGTGAGAGTTTGCATTAATTATCACCCCACTGCCATTTTAACATAGTGATGATCTCTTTCACATTTTTCTAGAATTCAAATGTTGTCTAATGACCAATGTAATAGTATGTAAATGTATCAGCAAGCTGTCCCACAGAAAACTGCTTGCTGATATGTGTTAATGAGAAAGGGTGTTGCCTAGCAAAGCACTCTTTTCCATTTCATTTATTACCAAGAAGATAAAAATCAGTTCCATTTTTCTTCCCTCAGTTTTATCACAAACAGATTCTAAATGTTATACCTTTTCATTAAACATGTGCTGCTGCCATGACCTATTTCTGTGTACTCTAGTTAGGGTATCTAACCATTTTTCTTTGCCTATCTATGGTTTTCATGATTTATAAGTACCGTATTTTTCAGAGTATAAGATGCACCTACCTTTTTTGGTGAGGAAAAGAAGAAAAAGAAATCTCCCTCTGCCTCTGAGCAATTTTGCCTCGTTGCAGCAAACAGCAAACGGCCTGTTTTACTTTCATTTTCGTTTTCAGCATAGTTTGATTAGTACAAGGGGGGAAAAATCTGCTCCAGGAATTTACCTCTTTGCAGCAAGCAGCAGAGCCCTGTATAAAACAGCTGAGAGCAAATCAGCTGAGAGTCGGGAGGCCAATCCAATCAACTTGTGCTAATTAGGTTGTGCTGAAGCTGAAAGGAGCTGTTTTTTCTTGCTGTTAGCTTGCAAGGAGGTAACTGCTGCAAGGCTGAGGCCAAAGGGTGGGGGCCAGTGGGTGGGCAGGGGTACATTCGGTGTATAAGAGACACCTAAATTTTCACCCCCTTTTAGGGGAAAAGGTGTCTTATACTCCAAAAAATACGGTAAAGCACTCTGTATATGTGTGTGTTTGAATACAAAGGATGGATAAAGCCTTTTGCTAAGTCAATTTGGGCATAATGATGTCCATTATCACAATGTGTGACACATGCTTCTCAGCCTCCTTGCCCTACTTATTCTTTTCCCCCAAAAATAAAAAGCTTCAGGCAAAACTAAAATTGGATTCTGATAACCTGCAAACCAGCAAACAGCTTCTTACATCATTTTTATTTACAAGAATGCATTGGAGGTTTATGTGGGCCCCATAGATAAAAGTTGGTAGCTCACTTTCACACCTTTGTTGGACTGGTTCATCTGCCTACAGAAAAAAAAATACTACACCAGGAAAATATGAAAAAGTTTGGATTAAACAGATGACGTAGTATTTAATACAATCAACCATTTAATATATTTTCAGAATCCAAATTTGCCCACTCTTCTAAGATGAATACACACGTTTAGATTAACAAATGCCCACATAATTTCTCCACCATCTAGTTAGAGCTGAAGAAGCTTCCATATGACACGTTTAGTTAAACCATTTAAGTCCACTTAAAATCCACATTTAATCCACTTAAAATAAAAAGAGGCTATGTGGATTACACATTCCCAGCAGGTGATAAATTCATTTTATCCTAGCTCTTGTTTCTTAACCTAAATTGTTCTTATCAGCTCCTTTCTCTCTCTCTTTGTCAACATTCATGTATAAAACATCAGGTATGAAATGAATCTTGGAATAATGCTATAATAACTATAGCATGGACATAATGATATATGTCATATGGTGATCTGGGAATTTTCTTGGACCATTATAGACAAGCAGCTACGTCCATAAATATTGTCTCAAATGTGCTTTTTCAAGAAGCAACTGAACTTTCTTGTTTTTCTTTAAGATGTTTCGCTTCTCATCCATGAAGCTTCTTCAGCTATGACTGGATGGTGGGGAATAGGATTTATACTCCTTTCAGACAGCTGGTCATTTGCATTGTTTTAGAGAGTAATTGAAGATACTTGGAGCTTTTTCTCTGTCCTCAGGGTCACTTGAAAAGTGCAAATGGGTGTAGAACCTTCTTGGAACTGCCGAAAGATTTCCCCACCATCCAGTTAGAGCTGAAGAAACTTTTTAGATGAGAAGCGAAATTTCTTCAAAGAAAAATGAGAAAGTCCAGTTGCCTCTTGAAAATGCTCCTTCGTGACAACCATGAGTTGAATGACTGAAATATTGCAAAAAATAATTAATTTATAGAGTTAACTGCCACAAATTTTGAATGGTATTGAGTCATTGGGATGACTGCCATCAGTTCTCACACCATTACAAAACAGCTAGATAAAGTTCACAAAGTATAAATCTGTTCACGAACAACAAAAAATATCTCAAAATCTGCCTTGATTTTTTTTCAAGTTTTCTTCCACTAAAAAAGACATTCCTGTTTTTCTACATTTATTTTCAGGAAGCTAAAGAATTTCTTTATAATTCTTTCCGTATTGTTTTGTTAACTAATTATACTCTGCAAGGTGGCAGAAAATCTTCCTTCTAAAGTTGTCATTTTTTGCTTTACTTCTTTCAATTATCTTGAAGGCACTGGTCTCAGATTGCTGACTGAAAACCGACTAGCTTTAGGTGGTCCTTCATGATGGTTTTATCTGAGATAGGACTCTATATCTAGCTTATAAATTTTCACAAAGTGTTTGGAAGACTTTTGAGACTTTTTTCCCCTGATACAAGTGAGTGATTCTGATAGGCCCATTGCTGCTGACCAGCTATAAAAATCTAGAAACTCTTTGCAACTGGTCAAACTTTTCTATTTTTAATGTAAGAACTTTCATTAATGAGATATGATGAAACCGGTACTTCACGATTGTGTTATCAGTTCCTCCAGCCTTATTGAAGCCAAAATGTGTCAAAAGGGAGACTGTTCAGCAAGAAACAAACAGAATTAGACAAAATGTGGGCAAACTAAATTTCAGCACTGTCAGAAACAAAGATACTTTGTCTGAATCATATGCTGATATTCAGCTACTACACAGATTCCTTTTTTCACATTACTATATGGGTACAATTTTCTTCTCAAGAATTTAGTTTCAAGTGACCCAGGCAACCTTTATTTTGACTGATGCAGCAAATTTGCTTTAGGCATTTCTAACCTATCAACATCTAATAAACACTCAGAACATCAGCTACTATGTTCTAAAGGGAAAAACACTCAAAGAGTTTGTATAGTTGCAGATTCAATGTTTTTTCTCCAGGTCTTATTTCACTTACAGCAAGCCACAGTAGGTATCATTCTTATCAAGAAAGTTATATTCCTAATACAGAATTCAACATTTTGTAAAAACATTAACAGATTTCATTTTATATACTGTATCTTTGTTGTATTATCACAAACTTCAAAATGACCCTAGCACTATACATCATAGAAACATAAATACCGTGTTGCTATCATAAACATCATGAATAAACTTAAATCTGTAATAATTATAGGTGTGGTGATAAACATTCACAAACTATAGACCAAAGTTTACGGAAGCTTTGTACAGACCACCTGTACAGAAGGTGAGTACAGCCTAACTAATTGGCCTGCTGATGGGGTTGCATAATATATCATGAAAGATCCTTGATGATCTCTGAGCTTGATTGTTTTCTTGCAAATGTTTCATTACCCAAACTAGGTAACATCAGTGCTAGTAGAAAGCGGGGTTTGCTCCCAGTTTATATTCTAGTGGTTGATGGGAATGGTCTTGGTGATTTTGTGTTTGGGCTGTTTACTGTTAACTTGTTTGGCACTTCCTTGATTCAGGTATTGTTTACTTCTTGATTGTTGGTCTGATGTTAATTTTGATGTTAATCTATACTCATCTGGAAGTTGGTTGCTGTTGAGGAGGTGTTTTCATCTTTTTTTTCCCTTTTGACTTGTTGATTGTCTCTTTCACACTATAGATGCTGTTTATATCTAAGTCTATGGCTAATTTGTCAGAATGCCAGGCTTCCCAAAATTGTCTAGTGTTTTTGGACTTGGCTTGTCTAAGATGGTTTCTATTAAAATAGTCTTCTAGTGGAACATATTCACAAACACCAACTAGCAATTAGAGGAAATGATGAAAACTCTTTAATCTGATTCTCTCAGATATTGCCTTTGCTTGTTATAGAAGCTACTGAGATTCTTCTATGGTAAACTCATAGCAGGTGTAGTGGCAAAAAACTTCCCATCTGAAAGATGCCTTTTCTCTTTCTTCTACATTTAAAGTTATCTTACAAGTTGTGAAGGTAACAAGATAATACTTTGGGAGATTTCCCAAGAAGGCATTTTTCTGAATACTTTTACCCATGGTTGATGATCCTGAGGCAGGAAAAGGGGAGATACATATGAAGTAAAGCTTAAAGATACAACAAAGAGATAATTGAACCTGAGGTAGATAGAACAAAATAAGACTACTGGAAACAGGGAAATTACTAGTCTAGAAATCCTGCATGACTATATATATTAAAAAAAGACCAATTTTGTTTCTGTTTCAGATAAGTCAGCCTGGATATAGAGAAAATGATCCAGTCCTTGAAAAATCAACACCATTTTGGAAATGCTGGGATTCGAAACTTATGCTGAACTGGGAAAGAACTTTTGAAAGAGCTAGACAGAGAAGATCACTTAAGCTCCAAAAGTACAAATTATTTATTTTGTCAATCTGGGATTCAGTCTTATGTTGCATACATTGTATAAATTTCATTATATGTCAGTTGGTAATGAGGTTAGTAGAGTTACATTGTAGCAAGAAACTGAACATTATTATAGTTCAATATGTGTGTTGATGTACATTTTCCTCCCATGCCTGGAATAGCTAATAGTCTTAAAGGCAAAATCAGACCTTTAGTTTTCAAGCAGCATGGCTCAAATTTTAATAAACTGTGACTTTAGACCTCTTTTGGAGATCAGAAAGCTACTGAAGGAAATATACTGAAAGTGAATGCTAAGAATAATTTGTATTATGGAGTACATGTCTATGGACATTCCGAGTCATCCAGGTCATGGTTTTCCCAAAGGTGCTTTTTTTTTTTTATTGCAAAAGTTTTACAATTACATTTTCACCCCTTTTTCCCCCCCCACCTCCCCCGCCCAGACTTCCCAACCTCCCTAACCCTCCCTAACCCTCCCCTCCCCCCAGACTTCCCTATAATATACTCATACTCATAAAAAACCCTTAATATAACACTTATATATAAACTTGAACCCCTCCCTCCCCTGTATAATTTTTCTCTTTACCTCATTACATTAAAATATTTCCAATACATTATTTTCAAATAAAAGCTATTTGATACTTTCTAGTTTGATATTTGTTCTGTACATATTCTATCCACCTTTTCCATTCCCGTTCATAAGTCTCTTGTGAACAATCTTTTAAATATGCTGAAATCTTCGCCATCTCTGCAAAACTGGCCATCTTCAAAGTCCATTCCTCGATAGTGGGCAAAGCTTCATTCTTCCAATATTTACCTATCAACAATCTTGCTGCTGTTATCATATACAATATCAATTTTGTTTCACCCAATGTAAAACCCTTAACTATACCCAGTAAAAACAGTTGTGGAGAGAATTGAATTTTTTTCTTCAAAACATTCTGCATGACCCACCAAATTTTTATCCAAAAAGCCTTAACTTTCCTACAGGTCCACCAAACATGATAATATGTAGCATCCAAACATTCACATCTCCAACATTTTGGCTGAACATTAGGGTACATACATGACAACTTTTTGGGATCTAAATGCCATCTATAAAACATTTTATAGAAATTTTCCCTCAGGTTCTGCGACTGTGTAAATTTAACATTCTGAACCCAAATTTTTTCCCATGTTTCCAACATCACTGGTTCTTCAAAATTTTGTGCCCACTTAATCATACAATCTTTAACTAATTCAGTTTCTGAGTCCCTTTCTAGCAAAACATTATAAAGCCTCTTGATATGCATTGGACCTTTCTCTCTTATATGTCTAACCAATTCTTCCTCGTGCATCATAATACCAGTTTTTTGGTCCTCTTTCCATCTCAATTGTAATTGATTATATTGTAACCAAGTTAAATTAATCCCTTCATCCAACAGTGTCTGCAATGTCTTCAACTGCCATCTGCCCGCATCTGTAAAAAGAACCTCTTTGTATAAAAACCCCCCGAGTGACATTATATTTGTATTCCACAAAGTATGACCAAGGTCCAACCATAGCGGTATTTTATAATCCCATTTGAGTCGGTGCTTCTTCCAAACTCTCATCAAAGAGTCTCTAAGTATATGACTTTTAAATACTTTATCAACTTTGTCATCATAAAATAAATAAGCATGCCATCCAAATTCAAGATCAAAACTTTCTACATTCAATATTCCAGCCTTTTTACTTCCAAACCAATCACTTGTTAAAGTTAAAGCTGCTGCATCATAATATAACTGTAGGTTTGGAAGTTTAAGACCTCCTCTTTCTGGAACATCTTGCATAATTTTCAATTTCACTCTCGGCTTTTTCTCGTTCCAGACAAACTTATTGAGTCCAGTTTGCCAGACTTTCAATTGTTTATCACTTTTAAGCACCGGAATCATTTGAAACAGAAAAAGAAATCTTGGCAAAATGTTCATCTTAACTGCTGCTATTCTTCCAAGTAGAGACAGCTGCAGTTTTTTCCACGTCTCCATGTCTTTCTGCACCTCTTGCCACAACACCTCATAGTTATTTTGAAACAATTTCATGTTTGATTCTGCAACCTGAACTCCTAGATATTTTACCTTAGGTACAGTCTCAAAACCTGCCCTCCTTTCAAGCTCATGTTTACGATCTTGTGTCGTGTTTTTAGCTATCATTTTAGTCTTTTTTTGGATTCAGTCTAAAACCTGAAACTTTACCATAGTCTTGTATAATGTCCTTCATCAAGATTATTGATTCCATTGGTTGTGATAGGGTAACAACCAGATCATCTGCAAATGCCTTTATTCTGTAATCCTCTTGCCTAATCTTTATACCTTTCAAGATATTAGAGTCCCGTATTGTATTTAGCAAGACTTCTAGTGTTAAAATAAATAAAAGTGGGGACAACGGACATCCCTGTCTTGTTCCTTTTTCAATTTTAAACTCTGTTGTCAGACTTCCATTAATAATGATCTGTGCCTTTTGCTCTTGATAAATTGCTGAAATCGCCTGTATAAATTGATCCCCAAAGTCCATCTTTTTTAAAGTCTTTAGTAGAAAATTCCAATCCACTCTATCAAAGGCCTTCTCTGCGTCCAAAAAGACCAGCACTGCAGGAATCTGTTTATTCTTCTCAAGATATTCCAATAAATCTATTACTTGCCTTACATTGTCCTTCATGTATCTACCCTCGATAAATCCCGCTTGATCATCATGAATCACCTTTTGAATTACTGGCATCAGCCTGTTGGCTAGTACTTTCGCAAAGATTTTATAATCTGTATTCAAAAGAGATATTGGTCTATAGTTCTCTGGTTTTTTAGGACCGATTTGTTCTTTTGGTATCAAAGATATGTAAGCTGTTGTCCATGATGGGGGTATTTTACCCCCTTGCTGAATATTGCAAAATAAATCTCTAAGTTGTTCCACCATTTCAGCTTGCAAAGTTTTGTAATACACTGCGGTCAAACCATCCATGCCAGGAGCTTTGGCTGTTTTTAACTGTTTAATTGCTACTATTATCTCCTCCTCTGTTATAGGATAATTCATTCTTTCCTTTTGTTGATCAGTAATCTTTGTAACTCTTTTATCGTTTAAATATTTTTCTATAAGTCCATTCTGCACCTCCTCTTTAGCATATAATTTAGTATAATAGTCCACAAAAGCTTCTTTAATTAATTTTTGTTGAAAGATTTCTTTCCCTCCAATATCAATACTATCAATAGTCCGTATACTTTGTTTTTTCCTCAGTGTGTAAGCCAACCATCTGCCCAGTTTATTAGCGTTACAAAATGTATTATGCTTCGCATATTGTAAGTTTGTTGCAACTTGTTCCGCCATAAGCATTTGAAATTGGTCTTTCAAAAGTTTTATAGCACTACGTATTCTTTCATCTGTTGGATTTTTAATAAGTAACTGTTCTTTATTCTTTATTTCTATTTCCAGTCAGATCTTTTCTTTTGTCGGAACAGTCTATGTTTAGAGTTCATGTAGATAAGTACCCCTCTCATATAAGCTTTACTTGCGTCCCACACAATTTCAATTGGGGTACCTTTATTCAAATTTATTTCAAAAAATTCTTTCAAATGCTTTTTAAGTTCTGTTGTATTTTTTTCATATCTAAACAAATTCTCATTTAATCTCCAAGAACGTCTCTCAACCTTGTCCATCTCAATTTCTATCCATACTGGGCTATGGTCAGTCAAAGTTCTTGGAAAAATCTTTGTTCTTTTTGTCTTAACAAGTAAATCATCTGTCAACAAAATGAAGTCAATCCTAGAGAAGGATCTGTGTCTGTCAGAAAAAAAAGTGTAGTCCAATTCTTTTGAATTATGTATTCTCCAAACATCTTTTAGTTCCATATCTTCTTTCATGTCAAAAAAGATCTGTGGTAATCTGATCCTAGACTTTGCCAAACTCTTTTTATCTAATTTAGAGTCGATTACTCCATTCCAGTCTCCCATAATTAAAATAGATCTGTAATCCCATTGCAATATTTTAGTATGTAACATCTTATAGAAATGGTCCTGTTGTTGATTGAGAGCATAAATTCCAATCAAAAGAATTTGGCCATTTGCTGTAAGCAATTCAATTGCTACAAACCTACCATCTTCATCTGCTTCTATAACTTTAGCTGTTAACTTTTTATTTACATAAATAACCACACCATTCTTTTTTTGCGAAGTTGAAGATATAAAATGTGTTCCTAGTTTGGAGTTTATCAAATATTTTTGATCTTGAGTTGTGATATGCGTTTCTTGTAAACAAATTATATCATTATTAAATTGTTTCAAATATGTAAATAATTTCTTCCTTTTCTGTGCTGAATTCAACCCATTAACATTCCAAGATAAACACTTAAACATCATCTCCCTCTTTCTGGAGCAAAGAGCAAAATAATTGAAGGTCATCCGAAAGCTTCGATCTCGCTCCCCCCATGGCTCCAATCTCTTGTGCAGTACTCTTAACTGCCTCCTTGTCTTGTCTTTCCTGTTGTTGTTGTTGCTTTTGTTTAAGTAACTTAGATTGAGCTCGAGTTATACGTTGATCCTTAACTTCAATCATCCGAACCGGGTCCAAAATTGGAGAAGATTCCAGCAAGGGCTCATCCAGAAAACCTCCTTCTGCACCTTGCACTTCCTCTAATTCCTGCTTAGACTGTTCTTGCAATTCTCGTTGAGGTTGCTTCTCTTCACTCTCTTTAATCTCCAAAACTGTAGATGTACGTGGAGATGGTGTTCTTTCCTTAAGAATAGTAGTATAGAAGTGCTGTGCCTTCTCCACGGTATTCAAACGGTATCTTTCTCCCTTGTATCTGAAAATTATGCCAACTGGTGCGTCCCACCGGAAAGGTATCTGTAAATTTTGCAATTCCTTAACAAGAAAGCTAAATTCTTTTCTAGCTTTCAACATTTTAGGAGGCAATTTTTTATAAATTCCAATTCGTGAGCCCCCCACTTGTACAGAAGTGTAAAAGGATTTTTGCAGGATA